TAGAAGAAGGTGGGTCAGGAGTGGATGATGAGAGATTTTTGCTCTTTCGTAATGCATGAATATCAGAGCTTCTCGAAGGTGTTGATTCGACCAGGTGTGTGTCTTTCTGCAAATTAATCAGCCGTTGATATTCATCAGCTATGTCATGTAATGTTAACTTAGGATTTTGTTCTAGCTGATTGAGCAGTCGAGTTCGGATATCTGTGAAACGAGGAGATTGAAGACTGCATATGAGAATCAAGGCTTTGAATTGATCATCTGTTAAGGACCTGAGTCGAAATCTCTCACATTCTCGGTTGACTGTGCCAACGTGAGTAAGAAAATCATCATTTTCATTCATTGTCAGCTTGAGGCAACGATAACGTATGCTGAATAATGAGGAGTGGTCTCCAAAATGTTCACGCAGCAGCTTTATTGTATCATCGAAACACTTGTCACGTGGTTTCTGGGGTAAAATTAGGTTGCAGTACCGTTCATATTCTGCCGGACCCAATTTACGTAATAACACTCGCACCTTCCAAGCATCGTCTTGTGAGGCGAGATCAACAGTGAATAAATCCTCATACCGTTGATACCATGTGTCAAAAGTGACATTCGCATCTGGATTATAATTGAACTGTGAAATACTATTCACAATGCCGTCGACAGATGGTAGCATGGTATGATTCGGATTGCTTGAAGGTGACGCTGGACCAGTCTTTTGGTTGACGAACATTTCCATTAATTTCATTTGTTGTTCAGATAGTAATTCCAATTTAGAAGGATCCATAGTTTTCCCCGTCGCCAAATTATTGTTATGTACTGGTCGAGAATTTAATAATCCTGACGCAAGAAAGACGGAAATCAGAAGACCACTAGGTTTGCGATGATACTTCTATTTTCCAAAAACACCAGGAGAATCAAAATGTCACACAATTTACATGGATACGTGTCACTAACCTCTTACCCTCTTCACGTAATACATAATTTATTTTAACACTTTTCTTCATTCTTTTTCAGTGACCTCTGATTTTTATGATTTTTTTCATATTACGTAATCCTAGTCTGAACTTACTAATCTCCACCACGTCTAGTTACAATTTTGATTACTCATCGGTATTTTGAGATATTTTGATGACGTAAATAATAATCCAATTTTTATTCTTATTTGACAGAAGTAATGTACACACACGCAAATAATTATATGTAACTACGATTGTACCGCTGAGGGAATGAATTCACCGCCGAAAAAAAAACTCTTCACTGAACTGTTTATCCTTATTTCGTGATGTCTAGATTAGGGGGAATTTTTCGTCAATATATACCCTATATCCTATAATCATGAGAAAGCACAACTCTAAGCATTTCAGCCACGTAATATCTTCTTAAAATATGACGTAACATAGATCTCAATTGCAACAACTGGTTAAGTTTCTTTATTGCAGTTAGACGCTTTTCTCTGACGAATAAAACGGCAATTAAAATTGTGATGAAAACTAACCACTTTCAATATTCAGGTTTTGGCGATGTAATGCACATGGTGCGGGGTTCGAAACCCGGCAGGCGTACACCACCTCCCTCAACCGCTAGGAAACCTGAGAAAGAGAAAAGGTTAAAAGTAAGGCTAGTGATCCTACCGCATAAAAGATGAAAATGTCACTGAAATGTCTAATTTGAGGTTTCAAAGAAGCTATTTTTTCATTCCAATAGGAATTTACTAGAGGGTACAACATACGGGTAACAGCTTCAAAGAAGAGAATTTACCCAAAGTGTATTCTACTAAGGATGAAATCAAACTGTAGTAGATACCGCGGCACATGACTGTAGATAGTCAGTTCGAGTTACACATGTTATAACTAAATCCAGTTATCCCTTCCCTCCAAGATTTGCTAAACTAGTTCCAGTAATAGAATAATAGATTATTTATTGCAAACGTAGGGGAAAACCTTTACAGGTTAACTAATCTGTAATAAGGATTAGGATTTCAGGGTAAATTAAAGAACAGCATTGGAAATATCAGCTTTTTAGTTAATAATTTCGCAACTTTTATTGCACCCTAATTCCGTTTAATTGTGAGTCAGTGGCACAGCCATAGAATGCTCGCCGACCACGCACCATGTGGGCCGAGGTTCGATTCTCGGCCGACGCATTCCTTTACCTTGCTAAGCCAGTAATAAGGTTGGTAAAGAGGGAAGGCTGGGCATGAGGCTAGCAACCACACCCTGTAAAAATAAACACCACTGCTATAGAAACTTCAATCCTCTAGCTTGGAAGTGCCCTATGCTCCACTGGGAACGTGAAACAATGAAAAAATATTCCGTTTAATTACTCACGGTTATTAGCAAGTTATTTCAATGATAATGTTAAAAGTCATGGAAAATTCCCATTGTAACATATAGAAAATCAAAACAAGTGGGGATTCAGCAAAGAGACTCTCTCCAACAACGAATTTATCATCAAGCTGTACAGTCGTATATATATGGTTTTTTTTAAGAAGATATATCCGGCGAGGGAATTGAATCATTGGTGTGAATGCATAAAATAATAATAATATGAAGTTCAATTAAAACTAAGATGTTTGTGATTATAATCATAATTACATGTCAACTGGCTAAGCAAATTAATGTCATATATGTAAAATAATTCATAGGATGCATAGAACTTGAAAAAAGGGTGTGCAATTATAGGATTAGTAGACAAATCGAATAAAACAAAAACGTTACGTAATATTGTGTGAAATTTAACAGCATAGAATTTATCGTTGTAAAAAGAAGAATTGATTTAGAATGACAAGTGGAACAAGTGAAATAATACCGGGGACAGTTCAAAATGAGAATAGCAATAATAATAACAATCGACGTCAGCAGCGGGATCTTGTCCTTCAGGTTATTGACCAACTCTATGTGTGTTTATCAATTCACCTGCTCGTGTGGAGCTAGGTATATTGATCGTTCGACTCGAGTTTTGTCCAAGAGGGTGCAAGAACACTATTCTGCATGGCTACGAAAAGGTTGAAGTTGATCAATAAGAAGCGCGATCATTGAACATCTCCTCGATAATGATCACCCTATCTCTATAGCCCCCGCCTTTAGAGTCATCTAAAAGGCAAAGAGTAATTTACCCAAATCCTTACGTACCCGACTCATCTGTATTGCTGAAGCTTTGGCTATCGAAACAGAAAGGCGAGATCTCTGTGTACAGAAAAAGTTCGTTCAACCCCTCCAACTTTCATGGTCTTAATCCCTCTATGTTAAAATATGGTAATCCCCAATCATGTTTCAGCTCTACCAATTTTTCATTTTTTTCATTTCGTCTATTTAATTTGTATACTCTTCCTTACTAAGTCAATTGTTACTATTATTACTATTCTCATTTTGAACTGTCCCCGGTATTATTTCACTTGTTCCACTTGTCATTCTAAATCAATTCTTCTTTTTTACAACGATAAATTCTATGCTGTTAAATTTCACACAATATTACGTAAAGTTTTGTTTTATTCGATTTGTCTACTAATCCTATAATTGCACACCCTTTTTCAAGTTCTATGCATCCTATGAATTATTTTACATATATGACATTAATTTGCTTAGCCAGTTGACATGTAACTACGATTATAATCACAACCATCTTAGTTTTAATTGAACTTCACTTTATTATTATTTTGTGCATTCACACCAATGATTCAATTCCCTCGCCGGATATATCTTCTTAAAAAAAACCATATATATACGACTGTACAGCTTGATGATAAATTCGTTGAAGTGAGTCTCTTCGCTGAATCCCCACTTGTTTTGATTTTCTAAGTGTTAAAAGTAACAAGAAATAGTTTGTTATCTACTTTGTAAAATATTTACTACGGGGTGTCGCCAACAATTATACACCTCATTCAACAGTTGTACGATAATGCTGCATGGTCAGTAATCCACAACGGGAAACTCACGGAATCCTAGTAAGTGAAGACAGGAGTAAGACAATGCTGGCTGCCCACTATCTCTAATGATTTTCCTGTTTACGGTAGGCTGTGTGCATCACAAAGGGCAACGAGGAGACAGGCATAAAATGGACTCACACAAAATACTTGGAGGATCTGGATTTCGCCGACATGATGTGATATACATATCTGATTTCCCGCAAACTGGAAGACATGCAAGTGATGAAAAGCAACAAGCTGGTACAAGAAGCATCAAAGATAGGACTTCAGGTGAACATAGAGAAAAAAGAGGTGATGAAGATTCCTGGCCAACACTAACAGCAACAACGATGGGCATCAATCAGCACAAATCGGAGAAATCCGAAAGGAGTAACCTCCTTCACCTACCTACCTGGGAAGTATCGTCTCAACTACAGGCGGATGGAACTAAGGAGGATATCAAAGTGAGGATCGGGAAAGCAATGCAAGCTTTCATTACTCTCAAGTCAGTGTGGATATCAACAGCACTCAGCATATAAACGAAAATGAGATCCGGATTTTCAACTCCAATGTGAAGTCAGTGCTACTATACGGATCGGAGACTTGGCGCCGCGCCGCGCCGCTCCGCGTCCCGAAAGCCACTTCGAACAAACTACACACCTTGATCAGATGGCCAGAAAAAATTAGTAAAAAGGATCTCTGGGAACCACCCAACCAGAAAACAATTGTGCAACAAATACACAAGAAGAAATAGAGGTGCATTGGTCATGCTCTGAGAAAACCACCAAGTGAGTGACATCACACACCAGGCTATTGCTTGAGTAGAACCCGAATGGGAAGCGGCGAGTCGGTCCTCAGTACGAGAGTGACATGGAGGAGAAGGAGGTAGTGTGAAGAGGAGATGGAAACATGTGTGCAGACTTGGAGCCAGGTGAAAACGTTGGGGGGCCCTATGTTCCTCTAGGAACTAAATGGGACACAATAATATAATATAATAATAAAATTAGTAAGGTCAATTGGGGTGGCTTTAATGGTTTAACTCTCTCATGAGAGGTTAGTTGCGATGCATGCATATGTACAAATAAGAAAAAATATTAAAATAATCACTTACTTTTACGTTGACGAGGAAGTTTAGTACCACAATTTCCTGTAGTACTTAATACCATTCCTGAACTGGTTGAATGCATCGAATTAGCTGAATGTGGATGCTTTACACCAGAAGAAGAAGATGATGATGAACAACTTGGCGGTAGTTGAGTTATTTGTGGATTTATAATAGGACATATAATAGAAGCAGAAGAAGAACCTATTGAATTTGAATAATAACCAGTTATCGTCTCTGAGTGTATCTGTGTAATTCCATTTACAGATTGATTGATTTCATTCCAATAGGCTTGTGGATCATTCATTCTTTTACCCGGTGTGGATACAGTTGACAATGTTGGTGATGTGGATGTCGGCATTAGTGTGACAAGTTCACTGACTGAAGGATTATTATAGGTTCCAATAAATGTCTGTTGTAAGTCGACAGTTGTTTGTTGCTGTTGTGGCTGTTGTATTGAAGGCAACTGAGATGCATTTGTACTTATCAGTGACCAATTGTTTGTTAAATCTGTTGTAATCGGTATTTCCATGCTCAAGGCTGCTGATCAGTGTGATCCGTTTTTCTTTTTGTTAATTTTATGAACAATTATCTGGATATCAGTATTCCTGTTCCGTTTGTTTAGCCTCCTTTTTTCTCTGTATGTTTCCTCCCGCAAACACGCTCACGTACACACACACGAAGAGACAATTGATTATAGCAGTGATGAAAGCAGATAACAACTCATTCACAAGGAAGGAGAGAAAATTGTGCTACAGTTTATTCTAATCAGGTAGTTGAGTATACAGCAACTCTTATCTCTTCACAGTAATGTCAATAACAATAATCAATCAGGTTATGTAATAGTATAAACTAGTGTGTTGATGATGCTTTGCTTTGCAGTTTAGCTGTCAAATAATGAAAATGTTTAACAACATGATTATAGGTAATAAAACAGTTTACTAATGGCTAGAATCAGGTCATGACCTAACTTATATTGTGTATGCATAGGCTTATGATTGGTTGAAATAAAACTCATATTTTCATCTTCATATTAGTGTGTATAAGGTTAACCGATTCTATGCTTTATTATTTTTATAATCCAGCATTAAGCTTATTGGTCAATAGAAGAGGTCATATAGGGGTCAGTGTAAGAAAATTAATCAGTAGACAAGAGGTGTGGCCTTTGTTACGTCAACTGAAATTTGATTTGAAGAAAAGTTTAATTTAACTGGTTCAAATTTATCAAGCATAAAAAAGAAGCACTTTATTCAGATGAAGCTTGCACTGAGCTTTCAGTTTGAATTTAGGATGACAGTTATTGATTTCAACTGAGTATTTTGATCAGTTTCCCCGTGAATATTGTATATTTCAAGACTGTGTTTTGATGGTCGTGGATGTAGAGAAAATATTATCCATATATGTGTAAAACTTGGGCACTGTGGTATTAAATGATTCCCTATTAGCTTGTTTATTAGGTATATCCCATACACAGTGAAACAGTATTATTTACTGGATGACACAGTTTCGAACAAAATTTATTGTCCATAATCACATCAATTGTAATCACACGACTTCGAAACTTGAGGTTTATTGTTTTCTTTGTTCTCTCCTATTCGTCGTCGTAGAGGTAGTAGAATTTTCCAAATATCTGTGTGGACAGGTGTTGAATCATTCCTGTTAAACGTGCTCTCCCTCAGTTGATTCGATAAACAAAGCTTCCGTTATCAATCTCTCCCTCCCCCAAACCCTGTTACATCAGATATTAAAACTGTCATCTTATCCCATCCGATTGTATGGTTGTGTGTAATTGCATGTAGTGCTATAGCTGAACTGTTCTCTAGATTTCTAATCTAATTCGGGTCAATCAATCTAGATTTCGCTGCCAGGTTTTTATGCTCGGCTTGTCTGACTGCACCTGTTCTACTACTTTGAACTATGTGTTATTTGACCTGATAATTATTGTAGGCAGGGTATTAGATGAACTAAATTGTTTTGTCTAATTGGAACCTTTAGCCGACAAAGCTTATTTCTAATTGAGTTTGTGGGTGGTTGGAATGCCAACCAGTTTTATTTCTGCCTTGTTAAGAATTCTGCGTAAGGTTTCCGGGATTTCTCCTTTGTATGGAATTACTACTGATGTTGATGTGGTTTTGTTCTCTGAGCTGGATGGTTAGTTTGCGAAGCTTTCATCACCTTACTGGGTGACATCTTCAGCGCATACTTCAATTTCAAGTGAGCTTTTAGATTTCTCCAGTAAGGTGATGAAAGCTTCGCAAACTAACCATCCAGCTCAGAGAACAAAACCACATCAAAATCATCCACCTGAGCTACAAATCTTCTCTATAATATCTATTACTACTGATGATTTAGATTCCTTATTGTTGGTGTTGTCTTGTGCACATTTGACATGCACGCTGTCACTATTATTATTATTATCACTACTATCATTATTTATTTTGTTCTTATTTTTACATTTCCCTACATACTTTCTGACTCATTTATCAGGGGAATTATTAAGTTTCAAGGTTTCTTTTATGTGTATCACTTCCTGTCTAAGATTTACCTTGGTACTACTTAGTTTTTGTGCTCTGTTATTTAAACATTTCACTAATTCTATTTCTACTGACATAGGATGGAATGATCTGAAGTCCCAATATCTGTTTGAATGTGTGGGTTTTCTGTAAACACTAGTGTTTAGCTTCCCATCTTCCTTCCTTTTAACGTTACAATCTAACATTGGAAACTCCCCTTCCTGACTTTCCAATTCATAAGTGAATTGAATTGCCTCCATCTTTGAGTTAATGGGTTCGAAAAATCTATCTATATCCTGTGTTCTAAGTACGATGAAAATGACATCTACCATAATTTTAGGGTGGGGTTGAACGTTTCAATCACTATGTTTTCCCACCTATACATGAATATATATGCTACAATCGGAGATATTGGTGACCCCATGGCAACTCCCTCAGTTTTTTTGTATAGATTTTCCCTTGGAATTTAAATACTGTGGAAGTCAGGCATAACTGCACTCTCAGCATTATTTGCTCAAGTGGCACTTTCATCCTAAGTTCTAGTTCTTGGTCTGAAATGAGTATGTATTATTCAAAATAATCCTTGTGATGCACTGAAAATCCTCTGGGATAACATTTAAAAATGAGGAATATTTAAGGAAATATCGTCAAATTACAAATGATTTACTTAAATACATCAGTTTATACATATCATATGACTAATACTGGAGTCTTGGTTTGCGAGGATTTGATGGATTTCAAGTTTTGTCACCGGCTGACATCAATTACAGAACCATTGAGAACCAAGTAGTACTAAACAGCTGTTTCACCCAGTTTCGGGCTCCTCATCGGAATGCACGTATGGCACACTGCATGGAATGAGATCCAGGACCTGAGGTGAATTCAATGAACATTCAGGAACGGAGATGGAATCCATTGGTCCATGAATTCTAACATTTGTCAATAGACAATATACGGCGCAAAGAACAGCGGCGCAACAACAGAACAACCGCGGATATCTTCATGGCAAGCTTAGAGAACGGCCCACTAAAGGAAACCATCGAGCGTTTGTTTATGTATAAAAGATATATAGATGATAACTTCATTGTCTATGAGGAAAACTCTTCAACTGCCGATCTGCTTGGAATATTTAATGGCTCTCACCCATCTTTGTACTTCACGATCGAAGAAGTGTCGAATTTCTCGTTTCACTTCCTTGACGTAAAGGTAGATAGAAGAGAAAATGGCACGTTGTTAAGGTCGATTTACCGAAAGCCAACATTCACTGGGCAGTACACTAACTTCAACAGTTGGGTACCTTTAGGGAGAAAGAGAAATCTTATTCATTCTTTATGCTACAGAATTCGTAAAATGTGCTCTATAGAGACAATAGGTAGTGAACTAGATAACCCTCGATCAAATCTCCTTAACAATGGTTATCCCACAAGGTTCATTGAACGTAACATCAAGAAAGAATCCGCCCCTAGACAAATCACAGTGCCAAAGAAAAAACTGTTTATGAGTCTAGCATTCAAAGGTGACACCATTTCAGAATTGATTAAAAATCGTTTTTCTAAATGAATTAAAAGCACTTTTCCTGCATCTGACTTGCAACTAGTTTTTACCAGCCAAAATATGATTAGACAATGCGTCAAGGATAGATTACCGCTTTTGTCCACATCTATGTGCATTTACTCTTTTACCTGCTCTCGTGGAGCTGATTATATTGGACGTTGTAAGCGTACACTCTCCGAAAACGTGTAGCTGAACAATATCCGGTTTGGTTAATGAAAGGCGAACGTAGAACTGCGAAGTCGTCCATTTGAGATCACCTGTTAGAATCTGGTCATTTAGCCCCACGTGATTCATCTTTCAAGGTTATCTACATGGCAAAATCGAATGGATCCAAAAGTTTACGTTTTCTTCACTTATGCATAGCCGAAGCTTTAGCTATACATGAACAGAAACCTAAATTATGTGTGTGTTCAGCAACGTTTTGTCAAATCCCTTTCTTTACCTTGGTCATAATAATGTTCGTTCTAAGTTTTATTTTATTTTACCACTTGAATTCTTTCCACTTCACTTCACATCTTCATTCTTATCGTAATCGTACTCCTAATTTTCATAATTTTTTAGACAACATTTGACATTTTTGTTATAGAACAATCTTTAATATTTTTGTAATTTATCCACTTCAACTCTACCCCTTATAACTTTTATCACATATATACGTACATTGACTGAGCAATTATTTAGTGCCACTTAATAGCCTTTTTCTGTAATATAAATATGACTGTACAGTTGGCCTGAAATTGAGGTCGTTGAAAAGAAATTTCTTCGCTGAACAAAAAACTGTGATTTCAAAATCTGTTGAATTTGATCGAATAGTCAATGTATCTGAATTAACGAGTTGATTACAGATTGACTTCAGCTAGAGAACCATTGAAAACCAGCCATAGGGAGTACTGGACAGCCAGCTGTTTCATCGTCGGCAGTACGCACCCACTGCCAGGGTTCGAATTCGGGACCTACTGGTTACGAGGTAAGCTCGTATACCATTCAGCCACTGGGACCCGATTTAATGGCTCATGAATTCTACCTTCTACCAATTCTGAATTTAACTTGATTTTGTTGGATCGCCTTGACTAGCTGATGACATTTACGTTATTCATTATCGTAGGTAATACGAAAACTTCTAAAGAGATCCAGTACTTTCGTTAACTAGGTGTTATTGATCTATGCACTAGAGTTTGGTGTCTGAAGTCAGTTGGAAAGATACAATTCAACCAGTAAACGTGACATTCTTTCCGCCTCTAGTGACCGGTGACTGAGATGGCGTCATTCAGTTGTAATTCCGTTATTTGCAGACATCTTCATCAATACTACACTTCGGCTAATCCTTTCAGAAAGTGTCAGTATCTATGGCCTAGTGGAATATATGAGTAATCCATCCACAGATGAAATGATAACTTATGTAACGAATGTCTGACTGTCTATCTGTTTTCAGCATAGAAATTTGCACCGATGTGAAGCAGCTCGAGACGCCAAAATCCCTCCACGTAGCACACAAAGCAAGAGAAAAAAGTAGAAGAAATGCATAATACAGACAGTAGACAGAGATATCGAACAAAAGGAATAGTAATAACGAAGAACAATATAGTTTCATTGGAAATTATAAGTCACAAGGAGTGGATGCATCTGCGCCATCCATTGAGAACGATTTTGAGCCATATCAGCAATGGTCTCCAGCCACCATCTCTACCATCCCGAGGACCATAACCAGTCAGGAAGTCTACACCTTACTACGTAGCTGGCTGGCCTAAACTAACTGATGAAGCCGTGTTTTCGTTTGATCACCACTGGCTCTTTTCCAACCTTACCCTATATCAGCCAGCATTGCCCATTGTTGAGGAAGGCGATGGCTAGGGATAGGTAACACATGCCCCAACCATCT